TTAAAATCAAGACTCAAATCAGGCAAGACCAGAATTAAACTCACCTGTGTGATTTCATTTCATCCCCTTTCTCTGCGACTCTTTACAATAGTCCCCCGTTATAGCATTGCCTACTATTTTTTTCTGTTGTCATTTTTGTCTCACATCCACCACTAGGCACCCTTCTCCACCTTCCCAGCAGTGTTTTCCTTTTCCCGACTCTTTGGGCCCACAAGGTGACCTCTATAAACACAAAATGACACACAGTCTCGCTTCAGTTGTCAGGACAGCACAACCCACAGCAGCAGGGTTTTTTTCACCCCTTACCCTATTTATTTAATAAAAACAAGTGGTCCACTCAATAGTGGGTAAGTTGATGCACTGTTTATTCAAAAGTTTATAATCTGGCTACTTCCTCACAAATCCCTGCAAAACAAGGAGGTACGAGAGCATTTCTAAGGAAGAAATAATAATATAATAACAGAATGTAACAGAAATGTTAATGCAGGCAATACCAGTTGTTCAATTTTCCTTTTCTCTAGGCACTTTTCAACATGTTTCTGAAATGTCTGACACTTCCTATTCACAAATTGGATGAGACAGATAGGCAGTGTGGAAAACTTCTGCTGCAACTGTGAAATTTTCACAAGGTTATAAGCAACTGAAAACAGGGACTTAAAACAGGAATTCCTCAGAGACCCTAAGAAGAGTGGTGTTATCAGCCCTTCCAAAATTAGTCCCTTTTTAGAAATTTTCATGACAATCTAGACCATACATTTACATGAGAACATACTTGCTTTCAGAAGCACTATCAGTGCAACCCAAACTGAAAATCAGTTTTGGCTAAAAGGAAATCTTGATATTCCTCCCTATAAATGTGAACTCTAAGCGGGACTTCTATGTTTTAATAAGCACCAGCTTGGCTTAGGAGATGCTGACACTTGCAGCAACCTTGCTGTACAGAGATATTCAGGGCATAAATTTACCTAACATACCAAATTGTACTTCCTTTTTAAAAAAATGGAATTATATTTCCTTCTCCATCATTACGATAAAGCTTAGAACAGGAACTAAACTGCTGGAAGCTCAACATCCAATAGGCAATATTTGAAAATAGGAAGAGTATTGCTTGTGTCCTCACTGTTTTCCACTCAAAAGAGCTGTAGTAAAACGAAGATGAAATCATCCTGCAGCTGCTGATGGCACAAACCAAGCAAGAGGATAAAAAACATAGATGACCTGATAGCCTTGTAAAACCACTGACATGTTCTAATTGAGGACACACTTTGATCTTTATCTGGATCCAAGCCATGGGTCACCTCATAAAATTTATAAGCAACAAAAGGATAAAAGAAAAGGTCTGATTAACAAGAGAAAAGTAGCAATGGCCATAGAAGAAAAAAGCAAAGATATTCCAATATTAAATGACAACTGATTCTCAGAATTCACTTCTGCATCTTAGGAAAACTCTCCTCTTTTCCACTGCAAAAAAAAAAAAAAAGGAATTATTAGCAAAAACTGGGACTCAGATTTTTACTTGAATCTTATTCCTGCCCTTTTCTCCACTCGCATCAGCCTTTGTGACGTCCTAGTGAAGAATATAAACATGAATGCAGAAATCCACACTAGAAAATTCAAAGATATTAATGGACTTATGCTAAGGCCAAGAATAACCAGAAAAGATGCCTGGATTGTCGTCTTCTTCCAGCTTCTCCCAGTGTGTATGATCATAATTACTGAAGCTATGCCAGCAAAACAGGGAGCAATATTTAACCCCCCAGAAGATATTTGGAGATCAAACTGCTAATCAAATTTATGTAGAAATGGAAGGAAACTCTGCATTTTATTGTCTTATTTGTGTTCATTAAAAGCAGATGCTCTCTGTAGCCTAAAAAACAGGAGCTTACAACAAAAGAAAGGCAGACTCGGTTGGTTAAAGCACATCAGTTATTTTGCCTCACCATGTGTTGTTTTCCAGGCTTCTAGCAGTCAGATGTCTGCCGGAAAAACACGGTCATCTGCGAGGGCACAGGGAGTTGATCAAGTAATAAAAGCTTCATCTGATAAAGGCTGTTCTAGTTCCAGGTGCAAAAGAATAAGAAAATGCCTTTGATGGGTTAAGACAGCATTTTATATACAGGGCTTGAAATGAAGGTTTCCTATTTAAAATATGTAATAATTTTAATAAAACAATGCACCAAAAGCTTTTTTTCTATTTCCTCCAGCACTGTATGCATACAAAAATAAAGTTGTTATAATCAACTGAAGGCATTTCTGACATTGTTCTGACATGCCGATTTGTTGCTTTATAAATCTCTTCCCGCTGGTTACATGCTGACATGAAGGACAGAGATATATGTGTCCTGGGCAAAAAATGATAACTCAAATACCATCATGCTCTTAAGTAGTCTCAAACTTTGCATGTTAAATTTACAGTAGATCTCAAAAGACTTACAGCCAAAATATTGGGCCTTGTAAAGGAAATATATATATATATATACATATACAGGGTGAGTCCACAGAAAGGTGATAATAATGGGATGAGTTGACCTGCATGAGTAATGACGGTGGAACATCCACCCTGTCCTGAATTTTTTTAAATACACAGATAAAAAAGAATCTAATATGACACTTACCAGACTTATACATTACCATTACCACAGTAATATCTATCACTAACTCTGTATTGTCCTTTCCAGTTAAATCATTGTTAAATGAGGCTTAGAAGCCAATGCTCCCAAGTGAAAGTGCATGCAGGTATCAATTATACTGTATGTACATCACCATTAACAGAACTGTCTACAGTCTTCCACAGATAAAAATGGCAGAGATGATACACGGGATCCCCCATTTTTGCATCTTCAGGGCCTCGGTGCTGCAATCATATGCTCAGCTTTTCGCTAGGGTCTCTCTCTATGTAGCTGAGTATCTCCCCAGTGGCCTCTTTATTTCAGAGCGGAAGTCTAAGAGATAAAGGTAGACCTACAAGCTTCATAAAAATAACCAGATAAAGGAGAAGTGACAAGCAAATGCTCTGACTGTGGGAAAAAGAAAGGCAATATGTGCTTTAGAGCTTCTCTAGAGATCTCATGGGGACAAGACACCTCATAAATGTTCCATCTCTATGAAGATCTTCAGTTGGAGCTTGTAATCAAATGAAAACACAGGAGGAAAGAAAGGGCTTTTTTAGTTCAGGTGTTTAGAGGATTAAAAGAATTATTTATTTTGGGGAGGCTGGATTAGGAAGAGCACACCAGCAGGCCAAGGGAGGTGATCCCTCCCCTCTACTTAGCAGTGAGGAGGCCACAACTGGAGTGCTGGGAGCATGAGCTCCCCAGTACAAGATTCAGAGATGTTGAAGCAAGTCCAGCAAAGGGGCACTAAGATGGTTAAGGAATGGGAGAGACTGAGAGAGGTGATTCTGTTTGGCCTGGAGAAGTGAAGGCTCAGGGGGATCTTATGAATATCTATAAACAAGGTGTGTAAAGGGAGGGTGCAAAGAGATCCAGACCCTTCTCAGTAGTGCCCAGTGACAGGATGAGAGGCAACAGGCACAAAATCAAACACTTGGAGTCTGTCTGAATATAAGAAAAAAAATTTCTTACTGTGAGGTTGACTGTGGAGTCCCCATTCTTGGAGATATTCAAAACCTAACTGGACACAGTCCTGGGTAACCTGCTCTAGCTAATTCTGCTTGAGCAAGGTGGTTGGCCTGAATGGTCTCCAAAGGTGCCTGCCAGTCTTAGCAAATTTGGGATTCTGACACAATGAAATGGAAATTGAAATGTATTAGGAGGTAGAAAGAGTCACATATATGTTCTTAAATGTTCCCAAACATTTCTCCTTTACTTAGTGTTACTCTAGGTGGTAGCTGTGGCAGTGGCTTGTGGAAGCTTCCAGTTGCAGCAAAGTGTTTTTTTTTTTTCATTTTTTCACAAGACCTTCTCTGTTTTATTTGCCAGACAATTATTTTTCGAAATATTCTTTTTCCTTATTTTAAATTTATCCGAAGTTCTAAGCTTGTCAAGATGTTTTTTCCAGATGCATTTGAAGTTGAAAGAACAAGCTGTTTTAAAATATTCTGAAGTAATTCTGATTTTTTTTTCCTCTCAGTTCTCAATTTCTCATACCCAAAGCCCTCATGAGGCCATCAGTCATCCAGGTACCACTAGAGTATTGGAAACTAATCCTTGCTAACAGTGACCATCACCTCAACTTTGTATATTGATTAGAATGTGTAAAACTTAGAATTACTAAATTACTATTTAATAAAAATATATTCATTTATTCACAATTAGGGCAGCTTAATGAGGCTAAAAGCAGAGGCACTGAATCATAGATTTTGTCTAGTTAGTGTAGAATTCTATGTCATGACTTGGGCCACATCATATGCCTCAAAATATATCCAAATAGAACATAATCACTTCAACAAGCCTTGCCCTTGTACCTGTACCTATAAAAATGTTTAATGGGGACTTTAAGCTACCCTCAATATGACATAGTCTAGAATAGATGATTCTGGTACTGACTTTTATCTCCCTGCAAGTCATAAGCCAGCCTGGGAGAGCAGAAAAGGGAATTCCAGCTACTGTGAGCTCACCCAAAGAGCAAACTGTGCTGAAATGTGCGGGGATCATTTCAGCCTCTGAAGCTGAAGGATCGTCAAGAAGAACTCAAAAGTTCTCAGGCATCACCAAGGAAAAGGCAGTGCACAAACCATGAAACATAGCTGTGTTTGTATGTGCCTGGTGGCTGCAACAGAAAGAGTGAGAAAAACACTAGGCACATTTCTGCACATAAACCAAATTTTACCCTTAAGGTAACCCTTGCTGATTTCAAGTTGTGTGACTATAAATAACGGGACACAGTGTCATTTTATTTCCAGCTCATATATAGCCAAAAGAAATAAGCAAGGAAGTTACATTCACATCCAGGGCCACAACAATAGTTCCTGAGAAATAACTTTTTTTGTATCTTCTTTTTTGTAATTATTATTATTTCCTAAGGAACTAGTGATAATAGATGATTGTGTTCGTGCCTGGTATTAGTTCAAGCAAAATCAAAATCGTTTCAGCCTCGTTTAATATGGATCATAAAAGCCTTTGCACAGTAAGTACATTCACTAAAATAATACACAATTTCTTTTCCACACAGTTTTCCTATGTTATTTGACAACTGCTTACTAAGTGCCTTTAGAAAAACTTGCACTTAAAAAAGCACACCAGCTGGGAGAGTGGGTCATAATAATTGATAAGAGCTAAAATTTGTTGTTTTACAAAAGGTAGAAATAAAACTTTGACTCACATCTCCCAAAGGGTAGTTCTGGTGCCTTGCAGCTATAACACATTATCATAAGGAGTTATAGAAATATAACAGCCTTTTGCAGGAAATTGTGGGCAGAAAATTGCCAGGCTTTTGCACTCATACAAAAAATATTATAGCACTGATGTATTAAACCTAGTGTCTTCATATAAGGCTCTGAGCATCCATGCACCTAGACAAAGGATGGGGACCCCTATCTAGTATTTTCAGTCATATGATCTGATTTTTCAGTCAGAAAGAAATGCAGGCTAAGGCTGTAGGTGAGGACCGACCTTCTGGAGAAGCATTTTTTATTACCATTTCTTTCTGCATGGGAGCCCATTATGCAATGCACTGCCTCCTGTGCTCTATCCCATTCTGTATGTCCAGGCATGAGGCACAGCCCTTTGACAGATCAGGTTGTAAGCTCATGGCAGCCAGACTGACTAGTTGTGATCTGCCACATTTAGCTTGAAGGATCTTGAAGTATGAGAGAAAATCTGCAGAAAATGTGTGAAAAGTATGACAGGAGAGGGTAGAGCTCAAATGAGGCACACAGTCAGTGTGAGACATTACAAAGAATCCCCTTAACTTTCCTATGAGTGCTAGATATCCGTAAAATGGGTTTGTACTATACCTTCCGATAAGTATTGCTGCCCTATTGCAGAGACCCTTAAAGTCAAGAGGGTGGAATTTAACATCTTCTTTTCCCTTGTGTGTCATGTTGCAAATGTAGAAATTATTCACAAATGCTTCATATATTGCCACAGGGTAATAAAGTTTTAATAAAAAAAATCCCTTGCATATTCTCCCCTTATATGTTATTTTAGAGTTACTTCAGGAACTCACTTTAGCCCATTATACAGCAAAATGAATCTGGTGTTCTAAAAAAGCTTTCCTACTTTTATTTTGGCCATCCTAGAGACATATGGCATCTCAATAAGCAAAAAATATCTGCCTGCATTCAAAATCTCCTTTTTAAGTCCATCAGCAAGGTTTATTTGCATGTAGAACTGCATTTTAAAGGGCAGGTTACTTACCTGTTGTCGTAGAAAAGTTATCATATTGCTTTAAAAGAGACTGCTCAAGGCCATGAGAAATTACTTTTGCAAATGTTCTTACTATCAAAGGCTATATTCAGTGAACCAATAACCTTTGGTTAATTTGTAGCATTTTCTCAAGTGTCGCCTTTGGAACAGAAAATGAAAATAAATTATCCTCCAGGCCTTAACAATGCCTTCCTTGCATACAAATGTGATCCAGAGGCTTGAGGACTACTTCCCTCTATATATTTGAGATGTGAAAAAAAATCCACAAGAACACACTGGTCACCAACAATTATATCTGTTGTTTTGTAAACTTTCAGATTTCAATGGCCAAAATAAGAATGGTTCTGCATAACATATATGAAACAGTTCTGTGTATTAGGATTAGCTAGATTTAAACTCTTTCAGTGTTTTAGAAATCAACCAAGACGTAGACCGGTTGCTCTGTAAGTTATATACAAGCTTGATGCCGTCAGCACAAAACTACGATGTTCTTAAAGTAAACCAATTCAATTAGCAGATATAGAAATATGGATTTGCTACTTCTTTTGCTATCTTTTGATAGCAAAGAGATGTCAAAGACATCAGAGAGGACAGCAAGTGACAATGACAAATCTGCCAAATAGAGGAACTGACATTTGGGCTCTGAAGAAGCAACAGAATGGGAAAAGGGCGAGAAGTCAGGGCAACATCAACAAACATAAATACTGCAGTGTTTTTACGGTGAAGTATATCCACTCCTAATGAGAACCTTCAGTTCTAACCGAGCCCGTGCACAAGTGACTCCTTGTACAACAGTGCTCAGCAGCTGGTGGAATTCTGTGGACAGAATGGGGAAAGTTGTCGCTGCGAGGCAAGTGATGCTCCATGGCTCTTTGAGTATCCCCTCCAGACCTGCAACACGATAAGTATGATAATAAGAAGAACTAAAATAGATCTGAGTGACAGAGAAGAAGAAAGGTGTCAAGGTCTAGGGATGGGGAATAAGGAACTACTTGCTGTGGTAGAGATTGAGCACAGTCCTGCTACATCCCAGGTAGAAGCCCCAGGTCCTGAGCTAAAGCATCAGTGCCTATTTTTTTTCTCCTTCATCTAATGAATAGCATCCATTCAACTGAGGGTGTTAAAAGGAACTTTTCATCAGGAAAAAGAAGAAACAGACTGAGTCCTGAGAGATTCGGAAGCTGGATGAGAGAGCTGTGGTTAGGTCCCAAATGCATACTGGACAGAAAATGGAGTCAAGGAAGACTAAAGACTAATTAAATCTTTGACATGAACTATCATTATCTGAGATAGATACACACGAGATGAGAGAAACTGATATACTCTGATATACAGAGTCAGCTCTGGAAGCTAAGCCTCTCAGTGCTGTCTCCAGCAGACTTGCCTTCTGCTTTCTTCATTCCCTGAGGCAGTATTTGACCTTATGGTTCCTCAGACACCTCATCAAGGATGCCCAAAAGCATTACAGACTGGCTAGGATCAAGCACACTGGTGCCCAGGTAGGATCTATGGATGCAGTTATCTTTCACATCTCTCTCCTAAGGGCCTTGATCGTCTACTTGTTGTCTCCACTTGGTAGAAATCCATGCTCTTGCTTGTGCTTTTTCTAATTTTATTTTAAAAAGTCAGGCTTAACGGGAGAGGTGGAGGACATTCCTTGCCTTTCATATGTCCTTGACTGATGATAATTAGTCCTAGTGCAATTGTAAAGGTGTTTGCTCTTGAAGGGACTGTGAACTGCCTGAAATCAAGGCGAATCTATTGTGATTCACCTGCTTTTGAAAAATCAAGGCCTTTAATGATCCTTTCTAGAAGCGTAAGAAACTTGCTGTTTTACTGAAAAGATTTTTTTTTCTCAAAGATACAATTGGCATTTCTGTATTTGTGTTTTTATTATTATTATTTCAGCCACAAGGGAAATATTAAAAGTCCTTCCCAAGTCAGTCTGTCAGTCAGTTTGGCACTGCCTGGGACATGAAAACAAGAACCGTTCCATCACTGAAAAGCTTTCACTGTAATAGATAGTTTGGTACAGGGGCAGGAAAACACAGGCAGAGTCCTGATGTTTTTGGAAGGAGGAGGCAGCTATCAGCAACTCTCTGTAATAAAAATCTCCACTGGTGATGCCAGAAACCTTATATTTGTACAGATTACCCAGAGAAAGGTTTCTTGTCCTAATTAATGGACCGTTAGTTTCACACAGTTTACGCCCATGTGTGATCAACACAGATTCTGGTTAGGTATTGTTTTCACATTGCTACTGTTTGATAGAAGAAAGCCAATTACCAATTGTTCCCATCCAAATCAGCTTTTTAAACACAATGTACCTTATAAAATGCAATGTACCCTGTAATTTAGTATGTGACAAGTGTCAAAAGCATCTTTATGTGTGAAAGAGTGCAACATATTAGATTTGCATCATGCTGTGGGCTAGCTTGTCAATATGAAAACGGGATGCAAAATTACTAGGCTTACAAATGCCTGCTTCCAAACTTACAGGAATCCTGTGGTTCCCAGCTCCCATCAGACTGCTTGATGAACCCCTTGATCATGATTTCTCCTTAAAGCCTTCTAGTTGACAGATGGACTCTCTCTGTTAGCTGTGCAGATCATTCAAGGGCCATTGCAACTCCCATTGATTCCTTGAGCATCTGGGCCCTGAGATCTCCAACATAAAAAGCAAATCCCAGCCAGCATTAACCAGCTAAACAAAACTGGAAGAGAAGATTCTGACTGCCTTAATTATTATACACCACACTATGTTTTGGATCCTGACCTCCCGAAAGTAATTATCTCTGTGTCAGGATACCCTGATTGGAATCTAAATAATTAATTGACTACAAGTCTTACTATCTTTGCTCCTTCCTTACTTTGCAGCAAGGAGTACTGCCCATTTATTAAGGTCTGAGCAAAACTGTAGTTAAAATTGTTATTATTTTTAAGCCAGATTATTTTAAACAAAATGTGAAAAATATTCACAAATATGCAGCTACTCCGTGTGCTACCACGGGCAGAATTTTCTTTATATAAGAAAGAGTTCAGGAAATATTCAGGATCAAATCTGGGGAGTTTTGTAGTAGGGTAAGGAAACCAAAAAATTAATATAATCTACTCTGAGTGTATTGGCAATGTGATCAACTTACATTTCAGCTGATATTTTCATACATACAGGCATCTAGAAATATTTAATGGTTTATAAAAAGTCCGAAAGAAGACAACAAGTATCTTTAAACAAATAAATATTCCACTGGAATGTCTGAAACCAACTGGTGCCAAATCAATAACCTGGAGATTAAAATGATTTCACTGGTGCATCTTGTAAATGCACAAAAATACAGAAATTAAATACAGCATGTACATGATGAATAGCAAACTAGATTTTTATGATAAGGTTGTGATTCGAAAGTAATTTAAATCCAAGGCAATATCCCCCACAGCTCACCGATCTTGAGTCACATTTTTAATGACTTCCTTCTACCAAACTAAAGAATTTCAGTTTTTCTGTAGGGTAAATTTGAGGACAAGAAAGATCCCCTGAGCATTATGTGTAGCCACAAACTGTCATATTGAAAATCAGTTTGCTGTGGGTTCTTGGGGGAAAAAAGTGATTTACAATAGCTTTATCACACAAGCCAGTTTGCTGTAAGTTATTCTATAAACTCTATGCCTGTATGATAATAAATCCAGAATCTTTGTTGATTGCTAAACTAGTCCCTGTTCAGTTGCCGTCTCCACATATAGGGCACTTTAAATGATGGT